AAAATATGGCACTCACTTATTCAGCTGATTAATATTGTTACTATATTGCTGGTTGTAATTGTTTTTAATATTGGCCATTGGTAGAAAAATCGGAAACTACCTAGTAATTTTAAAAAGTTAAGGCTGTAGAATTTGATCAGAAATTTGAAAGAATGTCGGGGCACCTGGGTGGCTCAGTCGTTAAGCGTCTGCCTTCGGCTCAGGTCATGATTCCGGGGTCCTGGGATTGAGCCCCTCATCATGCTCCCTGCTCAGCCAGGAGCCTGCTTCTCCCTCTCCCACTCTCCCTGCTTGTGTTCCCTCTTTGGCTGTGTCTCTCTCTGTCAGATAAATAAAATCTAAAAAAAAAAAAAAAAAGAAATTTGAAAGAATGTGACATGGATAGAGTGGTCATGGCTGTTGCTTTAAGAATCAGATCCTTAGCTTAAGAGTGGGATAGATCATGAGACTGGTTCCAGTTTGGTAGTAACTGCCAGTATTGGTCCATGAAACTGAGAAACCTCTTCCATGTAGAACAGCTGCCAAATACATAGTAGGTGCTCAATATTTGTTGAATAAATGTTTAAGGAAAAAGCCACTTAGATTGACACATTTTGACTAGGTAGGTAGTGCTTTGGATAACTGTATGATCTTGAAATAATCTCTCCATTTTTTTAAGTCAATTTTCTGATTCAGCAAAAAATTATAATGTAGGAATATTTTAAGATTTTTTAAAAAATTTATTTGACAGAGAGAGACACAGCGAGAGAGGGAACACAAGCAAGGGGGAGTGGGAGAGGGAGAAGCAGGCTTCCTGCTGAGCAGGGAGCCCGATGTGGGGCTCGATCCCAGGACCCTGGGATCACAACCCGAGCCGAAGGCAGACACCTAACGAGTGAGCCACCCAGGCGCCCCTAATGTAGGAATATTTTAATGTGAGGGAGAAAGAAGGTTGTATTGGGTTTTAAACCTAGAGATTGAAGTCACTTGGGCAGTTGGGCAAGTCACTTTTCCTTTCTGCTCCCCATACACAAGCAGAGCAGCCTTGATCATACTCCATGAATCTTTTTTTTTTTTTTTTAAGATTTTATTTATTTATCAGAGAGAGAGCACAAGCAGAGGGAGCAGCAGGCAGAGGGAGAAGCAGGTTCCCTGCTGAGCAAGGAGCCTGATGCGGGGTTTGATCCCAGGACCCCGGGATCATGACCTGAGCCGAAGGCAGATGCTTAACCGACTCAGCCACCCAGGTGTCCCGATCATACTCCATGAATCTTTAAGGTCCCATTTAAAGCTAAAATTTTCGGCTTCTAAGTTTGTTGAGTTGCTTCTGAACAAGACAAAAGTATTTAGAGTACTTTGGTGTGCAAAATACTACTTACATAGAGTAAAGACTAGGATGATTTATGATGCTTATGCTTTTTTTTGTTTTGTTTTGTTTTGTTTTGTTTTGTTTTGGTTAAATTTTGTTTGTTTGTCTGTCCTCACAGTCAACGACAACACAAACAGCAGAGTGGTCCTTTGGTCCTTCTTTGAAGCTCTTGTTCTAGTTGCCATGACATTGGGACAGATCTACTACCTGAAGAGATTTTTTGAAGTCCGGAGGGTTGTTTAAAAAGCCTTTTCCTGATGATCTCAAAATCATAATTCACTGTTTACCAAACATCTTCGTGATAATAATGTCATTAGTTTCTACATTTTTATTTTTGAAACTGTACATTCACAGCTTATGTTTCTTTGTGATTAATAGATATTGGGGGAAAACACCTTTTTAGGAAAGTTAGAGTGAAAATTTGACACTTGATTGGCATAATTTCTTATTTGAATTCTGCATCCATTATACAGATCTGTCCAACACTGTAAATGAAATACAGGCATATAGTTCCGATTATATCTTCTTTCCTTTTGTTTTCATGATGAAGTGCAGCTCAGAAAAGTACTTCATGGATAGTACTTCACTTAAATGACTGCATTCTTTGGATCTCTTATCCTACAGTTCAAGTCACTAAAGATTCTTTTTGTTGAGTCCTTATGAGAAACAACTGTCTGAATCTTGATATTTTCTACCCAGCCTACTGGCAGAACTCTGACTGGAGTGTTACCAGGTTGGTACTTTTATACTTGTCTATCTTGTTTTTGCTTTAAAGATAAGACTTAACCCAACCACATTTCCCCTTCTAAATTTGTGTTTTGAACCTTGGGACTCAGTCACCTCCAGTTAAATTAATGACACAAGCAGCTAATAGCCATTTTTTGGTTTCTGCCTCACCTTGTAAGCAGTCTCTACTAAAGCCAGTTCTCTGGGTGTTTCAGCCAATGGTAGCTCTTTCCTTTCTATGCTGGCACATCCACTTTCTCTGCTCTTGGCATGTGTAGGAAGTGTGCATTCATACAATTGGAAAAATCTGGATTACTGATGCCAAAGGGTTAAAGCCTCTTGGATTTCATTGCAATGATATACAGCCACTATTTTATTTTTGATCAGTGGCATTTTGGCCACTGTTTAATTAGGGTACTGGACATCACTGTCAGTACTAGGATTTTGTTTTTGTTTTTCTTGGGTCTTTTTTGGCACATGTGAATTTTGTTTTGTATAAAATGAAACGACTTTCTCTTGGTCTCTGATGATGGGTTTAACATTAAAGGAGCATCTGGTTGTGGTGTGGGGGTGATCCAGGATTATGTTGTGACTGATGTATATTAGTTACTTGTACACTTTTTTTGGATCTTTGCAAGGGGAAAACTACAAGTAACGAGTTTTATATAATTAATTTAAATTTGTTACAGGTTTTCATGTTCAGGATAAACAATTTTTCAACTTTGGGTGAAAATGCTTGCAACAGTTTAAGGTGACTGTATTTTACCTTAAGACAACTGTTGCAATGCCAAATTTTTTTTTTTTTTTTTTGGGTGTGTGTGAAAACACTTCAAAATTGAATTAAAAGATGTACATTTAAAATTGGTTGTGTATCTAATCTGCCCCAGGTTCAGTAAATAAACAATTCTTTTTAAAAACAATATTCTGTGTTTCATATTAATGATTAATTCACATTTGTTAAATATCAACTTTCTATTCATATTTGAAATGAGACATGTCCGTGTTTTCTGAGTTACTATGCCCGTTATAGATGTCTGTCACTTTGTATGTCTGTAAACTTGACAGTGAGTAGGAACCCAATATTAGTTTTCCTTGTGTGGTTTCTTTGGATGATTCAGTGTTAACATCTTAAGTATTTTTTTTTTTTCATTTGGAAAAAAAGTTGAGTTATACTCAACTGCCTGGTTTATGGATGTGGGAAGTAAGTTTAGGAGAGATTCAGTGATTTGTGCAAGGCCCTCAGGTAAGACAGGTGGAATCAGAAATTAGATCTCTGCTTTTAGAAACCGTTGCTCTTCCTCTATTACACTAAGGGCCTGCTAGTAATAAAATAAACTATTATTTGTTGAACATTGTGGAATGTACTGGCACTGTGCTAAGTGCTATATGCAGTCTGTCTCATTTATTCCTCAAAACAGCCCTTACCTTGGGTGCTATTATAATCATTTTGGAAATAGGGAAACAGGCTTGGAAAGCATCCAAGGGTCCAAAAACTAGTTAAGTAGAGCCCCAAACGCGAATGCAAGTATGCTCTTTCCCTCTGCCTTTACTTTCAGAACTGTGGAAGTCCCATGTTATAACAGTTGTCAAAGGTATTTTGAAGTGTGATCCTGTTTCAGTGGAAACGTTGCCTCAGGCTTTTTGTTTCACTTCATTTAGTTTGTGATGACTGGAATCTGTATGAGTACTACTCCCATTTATCCATCCTAAAAATATTTGAGTGAGTGCTGTGTTGCTGCCAGTTGCAGCCGCTGGGTTAAAGAAATTAAAGAAAAATCCCCATTGTCGTGGGGTTTACCTTTTAGTGGGGAAGACGAACCTACTATGCCAATTGATCTGCATGTTAATGGTAAGTGCAATGGAGGAAAAGTGAGGCAGTGTGAGCGGTTTTAGTGATTAGGAAAGGAAGGCCTCACTGAGATGACATTTCTAAGTACGGAGCCCAGCATGTACCAGGCGGTGAGTGAAAACTGCTGAACGAATGTGTGCGTGGACAAATGAGCGGCCCCGGCCCATGGTGAACCCAGGAACGGGAAGATCATGTTCTCGTTTGGGGCTCTAACTTTCTCGGAAGTAAACCAACATTTATTGTGTACCGGGCCCTGGGGCCCGACCATCACCCGATTTCGCATATCCGTTGACCTGGGGCTCCGGGCCCGGGGTACATTTCTGTCCATTCCCGCCAGACCCACCTGTGCCTTGGCCAGGACGCGGTCTTGTGCTGCCCCCTGCCTCTGATGGGCGCAGAAAGCCCGCGAGCCGGAGCAGAATGCCTCCGCCGAAATGCCTGCTCTCGGTGGGAAGGCGCCCGAGCCAGGGTGGCTGCGCAGGACCGACGGAACTGCTCGGGCCTGGGCCCCGCCGCCCACTTTCACTGCCGGGCGGTCAGCTTTTCCAGCTTCGGCAACGAGGACCCTTTCCCCGCCCTCCGGAACTCCGCTGCTAGAGCGCGGTTGCCGGCGGTCCCGCGGGTGGCCGGAAGCGGAAGTGCTCGCGGGCGGCGCCCGGTGGCATCCGGGTGGCGTCCAGGCGGCGGCGGCGGCGCTGCCAGAGGGGGCGAGCCATGGAGCACGTGACGGAGGGCTCCTGGGAGTCGCTGCCGATTCGGCTGCACCCGCTGGTGCTGGGTGCGCTGCGGGAGCTGGGCTTCCCGTACATGACGCCGGTGCAGGTACCCGGCGCTGCCGGGCGGGGAAGGGTCCTCCGTGCGCCGGGGCGGGGTGGGGGGGTCAGGCGGGGCAGGGAGGCTCCGAGCCTGGGACTTCTGCCGCGTCTTCAGGCTGCCCACCCTGGTTAATGACCCCGGCGGGTGGGGGGCCCTGACCTCCGCGCCCCCTCCGCCTGTGAGTCCTGGCGCCCAAGTGCCCGCTGCATCCGGCCCTGCCCCTCTAGCTATGAGATCTCGGCCAGGTGACTTAACCTCTGTGCTGTTTTCTTCTTACCTGTCTCGTAGGGTTGCTGTGAGACTGGGAGCTCAGTAAATATTACCTGCCGTTGTTACTATGTGGGCCAAGTGAAGGGTTCTCGCCCAATTTATTCATTTATTCAAAAGATACTTGTTGAGGACATATTGTGTATCAGGTTTTCTAGGCTCTGGGGATTTTGTAGTGTTGGTCCCCAAGCAGGGGCCTTATTTTCTAATTCAGGGGAGGGAGAAAGGAGTAGAAGAATACGGTAATTTCAGTCGGTGATAAGTGTCACTAAAGAACTAAAACACAACGATGTGACAGTGACAGAGGTTAAGGTGGTGTGTTAGGGAACGCCCCTCCGAAGGTCACTGAGCTGATACGGGAATGATTGAAGAGCTGGCTGTGGGGTGATTGGGGCAGGATATGCCAGCAGGGAGAGATGCCAGTGCAAATGTCCTGGGGCTAGAGGTGACCTGGGAGGAACAGAAAAAAGGCCTTTGGCAGGAGCATCAGGCGTAGTGTAAGAGATGAGCAAAGTAGGGTCCACATTGGGCAGGGTCTTGGAGGAGTTTGTATTCTTTTTAAATGCAGTGGGAAGCCATCTTAATGGGAAACTATGTATGAAGGGAAGGGAGGTGACTGCTGTGTGGAGAATGGACTTCAAAGGTCAGGGGGCCAGTGTCAAGTGAGGAGAGGTGGCAACTTGGAGTAGAGAGGTAGCAGTAGATGCTGAGAAGTGAAGTTCGAGAGAGGGCTTGGGTTGTTGGGGGGCCAGATATAGGGGTTACCAAAGAGAGGAATCTAGAGGGAGTCCGAGGTGGTTGTCTTCAGCAGCTGGGTGGATGGCGGTACCGTTTACTGAGATGGGGAAGGCAGGGAGAGGTAACATGTTTCCGAGGGAAATTCAAGAGTTACTGAGTTGAGATGCCCATGAGGTCCTCAGGAAAGATGAGGAGAAAGCTGGAGATGAAAGTTGGGAGTGCTGGGAACCCTGCCTTGGGACTGTAGTGCAGGGAGACCCAGTCCCTGCCGTCGATGTTGGTAATCAGGGGCTGTGCCGGCCACTGTGGGAGTCAGTAGACACCTGCGGCTCTTGAACACTTGAAATATGGTGAGTCCAAATTGAGATGTTCTCCAACTGTAAAAGGTACAATGGATTTTGAAGACTTAGTATAAAAATAAGGAATGGAACATATCTCATTAATTAATTTTTAAAAATCCGTTACATGTTGAAGTGACAATAGTTTGGATCTCCTGGGTTAAATAAAACACATTAGTAAAATTCATTTTATGTCTTTACTTTTAATGTGGCTACTGGAAAATTTAAAGCCATGTATGTGGGTCACATCACGTTCCTTTTGGACAACAGTCTAGAGCAGAGTTTCTCCATCTCGGCACTCTTGATATTCTGGACTGGCAAGTAGTCTGTGGTGGGGAACTGCCCTGGGCACGGTCAGCTGTTTAATAGCATCCCTGGCCTCTACCTGCTACATGCCAGTAGCACACCCTCCCCGCTGTGGGTTTTGACAACCAGAAACATCTCTAGGCATTGCTGCATGTATCTCGAGGGCATAGGAATCATCCAGGTTGAAAACCACTTGCATAGAGGTTGCTAGAAAAGAGCTACATGTGCTGTGATGGGTGAGCTCAGGCTCTGAGGACCAGGAGTGGCGTCCTGAAGGGGATGACCTCAAAGCTGAGACCTGAGTCTGCTTTTCACAAGATCTGGAGGTCCCCTGCAGTGTTTAAAATGAGAGGGTTTATTGGAATCATTGTTTTTTGATAGGAGAGCTGGAAGGGACCCTAAAACTCAGTGTCTTCAAATACTTCCTGGTCCAGAGAGGAAAAGGAGGTGAGGCAGGGCTAGTATTCAGGACTCCCGAATCCCAGCTCAGCTCGCTGTCCCCTCCACACTGTGTAGACACTGCTGCTGTGTTGCCTCTGAGCCCATCTCCCTGGGGTGTCTTGGGGTGACTGTAAGAGTCTACATTGTGGTGGGGTCCCTTGTGACCCAGGCCGCCCACTGTGTTCCTAGGTCCTTGGGCCACTTCCATGGAGCCTGGCATTCTCTAACCTGGGCTTTGCATCTCTTTCTCTAGTCTGCAACCATCCCCCTGTTCATGAAAAACAAAGATGTCGCTGCAGAGGCGGTGAGTACCTCATGGAAATGCAGCTTGTCCCCCTGTTTTCCCTCCAGAATGAACTGTGAGGAAAAGCAAACCAAATTTTCTCCGTCTTGGCAGGTCACAGGTAGTGGCAAAACGCTCGCTTTTGTCATCCCCATCCTGGAAATTCTTCTGAGAAGGGAAGAGAAGTTAAAAAAGAATCAGGTGAGGATAGCTAAGTGGCTTATTTTCACTTAGTCATTGTGTAGAGTTCACAATTCAAAGAAGCTGGTCAAAAGATTGAAAAAAAAAATCTATCCTCCTTGCTTGTAGATACTGTATTTCTGGATTTGCTTGCTTGTTAAAATTTATCTGTGGCTCCCTAGATCAGTACTTACTGTGTTTTCTCACTCATTCACGGATTTGTGCAGAGAAGCAAAGAATCGGAGTCACCTGCTGTGCACGTTCCCAGCTGAGTCTGAACAGGGCAATGCTCTGCCTTCTTGTTTTAGCTCTCAGGCTGTAAACAGGCGTCCTTCTCACAGTTTACCCCTATGATTTTTGCATTCTTGCTGGTGATTTCAGTGTTTAAAATGGCCTCAAGTGTAGAGCTGAAGCACTGTCTAGTGTTCCTGAGCACCAGAAGGCTGGGATGGCCCTTTTGGAGAAAACAAGTAGGCGAGATATGCTTCATTCAGGCAAGAGTTAATAGTGTGACCGGCAGCAAATTCAGTATTGATAAATCAACTACATATTATTCACGGTGTCTTTAGACAGAAGCACACATAAAACCGGCTTCTGTATTGATTGATTCATTGACAAAACATGACCCGAGGCTCGCCGGAACCTGACCCAGCATTTCCCCCAGAGGCAGCGTTTCAGTATTTTCGAAACCCGTGTTTGTCAATAATGAGAACTGGCTGTGATCCAGCGCAGTCACTGATAAGCACTGGGACTGGTGCTGAACAAGCCCAGAAGTGCTGTTCCCCTGGGAACTTGGCTCTCTGAGGTGCTCGGTCCTGGCGTGTGGGTTCAGCTCTGCGGGCCCACTCGGCTCATTATTTCCTTTCCCTGCACATGGGCAGGTTGGGGCGATCATCATCACACCCACACGGGAGCTGGCTATTCAAATAGATGAAGTCCTGGCACATTTCACGAAGCCCTTCCCACAGTTCAGGTGAGTTGGATGCAGTGCCCCTGTTAGCCACGGGCTGTTACTTTGCCTGACCTGCTGAAGACCTGTTTCTTGTTTTAGCCAGATTCTCTGGATCGGAGGCAGGAATCCTGGAGAAGATGTTGCAAGGTTTAAGGAACAAGGGTAAGTTTGCTTGCTTCTGCTCCTTTCCTTGCTTGTTTTTGGCACAGAACCCAAGAGGAAGTGATATCTGGTCTAGGCCTAATGGGGAGCACTCCCTTCGGCAATCCCCTCTCCCCGAAAGGTTTTATTCTCCAGGCCACCCTCCCATTTTGCCTGCTGGCTCCTTCTCGTCCTGATGGGCATTTCCCCTTCAGTGAGTCTCACCTTGCAGAGGAGAAGGGAGTCAGGGGGTGGCCCCCCTTCTCTCCCCAGGCTGACTGTATGGGACTTAGGGCCCTTGCTTTTCTCACTCGGGGCTCTCTAAGTGGTCTCATCTCACTCCTGGTGGTCCCCGACCTCACCCCGAGTCCCAGACCTACAGGTAGCTGCTTGTCTGCCTGGCATCTCCTGGGCATTTCCCGGCTATTGCAAACATGTCTGGAATGGGTGTTTTTTACCCCAAATGTGCATGTCATCTGGAGTTTCTCAGTCATCTGTCCACCCATGTGCTTCTCCTGAAGTCTGGGAGTTGGCCTTGATGCCTCACTGTCCCTTCTGTCCCCGCCCCCGTTAACCATCACTGAATCATTTACATTTTCTCTCCAGAGCACACATCTCTAGCCCTTTGATTTTCTCCCTCGCCCCCTCTCCCACTCTGATCTAGACCACCCCGTCTCTCCTGGGCTCCTGCAATAGCGTTCTCTCCTATGTGTTTCTACTCTTGCCTTCTTATAATCCACTGCCCACAGAGCAACCCAAGTGGCCTTTTCAGAATGCCAGCCTGATCATGTCACTCATTGAAAACTCTTTATTGGCTTCTGCTGGCCTTTAGGAAGGATCCTGATGTTCGTACAGGGCTTGCCAGGCCACCATTCTCCACTGCCGCTGCTTTCTCACGCCTCTGCTGCCACACAGACCCAACTTTCCTCTAGAGCACTGCGTGGGCTAGGCTCCTCGTGTCCTCAGGCAGGCCCAGTGGTCAGGGCGCTGTCTGTCCTGCAGCGTTGCAGCTTCAGAGCCTCACACGGTGCTGAGCACACACACATGTTTAATAAACAGATGGGTATTTGAATACATGGTGGCCATCAGCCCTTTGGATTTTTTTCAGTCCCACCATCAATAAGGTTTATTATGAGCAGTGATAGGTTTTGTGCCCAATTTGTTAGAGAATCTTAATAAAGAGAACTGTTTCTATTGAGCATTTGCCGTGTTCCAGCTATCCTGTGAGATGCTTTTTAGCAGGGGTCACAAAGTCAAGTTCTGCAGGGGTCAGAGCTGTGAAAGGGCGGGGGTGGGGATGGATGAGTAGGAACTGCCCAGTACGTGGCCAAATACTTATCTCTAGCTGATAGTTGCCTTGAGGGATTCTGGGCTCAGTATTGTCAGATACTGAATTTTTAAAAAAGAATATGGAATTCCAGATTTTTATGTGTTAGTTCCAGACTTCTTTTAACCATTGACATGTAATTCACATTAAAAAAACAAACAGAAAACAACTTCTTGGGAAGCCTGGCTGGTTCAGTCAGTGGAGCATGCAACTCTTGATCTTGGGATTGTGGATTTGAACCCCACAGTGGTGTAGAGCTTACTTAAAAATAAAATTTAAGGGGCGCCTGGGTGGCTCAGTTGGTTAAGCAACTGCCTTCGGCTCAGGTCATGATCCTGGAGTCCCGGGATCGAGTCCCGCATTGGGCTCCCTGCTCAGCGAGGAGCCTGCTTCTCCCTCTGACCCTACCCCCTCTCATGTACTCTCTCTCATTCTCGCTCTCTCAAATGAATAAATAAATCTTTAAAAAAAAAAAAAATTTTAAGGGGCGCCTAGGTGGCTCAGTTGGTTAAGTGTCTGCCTTCGGCTCAGGTCTAGGTCATGATCCCAGAGTCCTGGGATTGATCCCCGCATTGGGCTCCCTGCTCAGTGGGGAATCTGCTTCTCCCTCTGCTGCTTCCCCTGCTTGTTCTCTCTCTCTCTGCTCTCTGCCAAATAAGTAAATAAATAAATAAAATCTTAAATAAATAAAAAAATAAATAAAATCTTAAAAAAAAAATCCTTCTAAAAAAATTTAAAAACTCCAAAAAACAAAAGAACCAACTTCTTGCAGGTCAGCCAGTGTGTAGGGGCTGTATTTGGCCTTTTGTCCGTGGCTGTGATCTTTAACATAAAATTCTCTCTAAATCTGTTAACGTTCTCATTTTTTTTTTTTTTTAAAGATTTTATTTATTTATTTGACAGAGACAGAGATAGCGAGAGCAGGAACACAAGCAGGGGGAGTGGGAGAGGGAGAAACAGTCTTCCTGCTGGGCAGGGAGCCTGATGCGGGCGCTCGATCCCAGGACCTGGGATCATGACCTGAGCCGAAGGCAGATGCTTAACGACTGAGCCACCCAGGCGCCCAACATTCTCATTTTATAGACGAGTTACCTGGGGCCTAAAGTGGTTCAATAACTTGTTCTAGGTCAGGGGTCAGCAAACCTTTTCTGTAAAGTAACAGATGGTAAATATTTTAGGTTTGTGGACCACATGGTTTGTCACAGGTATTCAGCTCCACTGTTGGGGTGTGAAAGCCACCACAGACAATGCATGAACGGATGGGCATGGTTGTGTGCAGGCCAGATGTGGCCAGCGGTCCAGCGTGTGCTGACCCCGCCCTGGCTCTTGGCCTGGAATCCGTCTGCCTCCCTCATGGCCCTCACTTTTCTGCCCTGAGCCCTGTCTCCTCACTCATGGCTGTATTTCCCTTTACTGGAACTTAGATGACTTGGGGTGGGGGGGGCGGTTTACAAAACTTGGTATTTGGAATCACAGATATTCCCTAGATCCAGAGAGTGTGGTAAATGTTGATTGTGTTTTCAAAGTGGGAACATCGTTGTGGCCACTCCAGGCCGCCTGGAGGACATGTTTCGGAGGAAGGCGGAGGGCTTGGATCTGGCCAGCTGTGTGAGGTCCCTCGACGTCCTGGTGTTGGACGAAGCAGACAGACTTCTGGACATGGGGTTTGAGGCAAGGTACTGAACTATGGGCTTCATTGGCTTTGGGTGATACTGGAGAAAAGGAGAGCAAAGTGGAATTCCTTTACCACTTTATGACTGCCTTTCTTGGCCTCATTTGAATTTCAAATCATTAGGTTGTTAAATTCTAGCACACAATTTAAGTTCCAATTCTACTTCTTAAGATGCATTTTCCTTCATGATTTCTTTGAAAGTTTGTGTGTGTGTGTTTTGAATAGCTTTATTGGGAAATTCATATATCATACAATTCAGCTACTTAAAATGTATAGGTCAATGGTTCTTAGTCCCCAAAAGTTATTTGTCTTCATTCTCTTAATTGCCCCACATGATAAAAGTATAATTATGTGTTCATATTGGAGAAAACTTGGAAAAACGAGAGTATAAAGAAATAAAAATAAATAAATAAAAATTGCTCATAATCTCATCCTCTGGTTAACGTCTACTGTAAATACTGTGACGGCTTTTTTCCTAATCTTTTAAATATCTGTTTAGTATCATAAAGTGGTATTTGTTGATGACGCTGATAAACGAGGGATTAAGTTTGAGCCCTCTTTTTTAGCATAAACACCATCCTGGAGTTTTTGCCAAAGCAGAGGAGAACAGGCCTTTTCTCTGCCACTCAGACGCAGGAAGTGGAGAGCCTGGTGCGAGCGGGGCTCCGGAACCCTGTACGGATTTCGGTGAAGGAGAAGGGCGTAGTGGCCAGCAGCACTCAGAAAACTCCTTCCCGCCTGGAGAACTACTACATGGTGTGCACTGATCTCCTTGCTGATTCCTGCGGGTCGGTCATAATGCTGACTGGGGTCTTGAAATCCGGTGTTGAAATCCGGCAGGCTCACCTGAGTTGGGGGGCCTTTCTCATTGCTGGCGTTTCTGGGCTGGGCTGGTGAAGTCAGGAGCCCGGCCTTTCCCAGGCAGAGGGAGGGGTCCGTAGGTAGTGTGCATGGCTGAGTGGGTGCCAGAGCAGCACTGCCCAGGACAGCAAGCCCAGGTACACATCTTGGCTTTGTCCCTTACTAATTGAACTGGATGCACTTACCTGTACATAGGGGGCTCCAGTACTACCCACTTCATAGGTTGTGGTGAGACTGATTGATGAATACAGATTAGGCCAGTGCTTAGTACGTAGTAAGTACTAATAAATGTTAGCTTTGGACGTCCACATGGCTCTGCCGTTTTGTATTCATTTCAGTGATTGCATTTAGAGAGATCTGAGTGTGTGAGAAGAAATTCCAAATTGAGAATTTGGTTTTGGTAAAAATAGGGGGCATGCATACAGATGGGTTTAGATGTCTCCCATTTAGGGGCCTGAATGGAGTGCTTGATTATATTAAGAGAGACTGGAGTCTCTCTCTGTGGAGGTCTTTCAAATTTTGTACATTCTCTTCTGGAAACCTGGTTTCATCTTAGAGCAGTGATTTCTGAACATGGAGATGTAACAGTCTCCTCGGAGTTCCTAAATAATATGGGTTCTTGGGTCCAATCCTAGACCTACTGAATTTGTATGCTGTGCCCAAGAATCTGCATTAAAAAAAAAAATCTACCCTGGAGGGACACCTGGCTGGCTCAGTCTGGAGAGCGTGCAACTCTTGATCTTGGGGTCATGAGTTCAAGCCCCATGTTGGGTGTAGAACTTACTTAAAAAAAAAAATCCACCCTGGATATAGCTGGTGTGGTCCCTGTCCGTATACTGGGATTTGGGGACGATTGCATTAGATGACTGTGCGTCTCTTCGTTACATGACTCTGTGACTTGAATGTGTCAGCAGCACATGCTGATACCCATTCTGAGCTAGGTAGACCAATTAGCATGTGTTCTATCAGTGGAGGAAATCAGATTCCTTAACATTTAAGGCTGAAACTGGAAACAGCTAAAGAGATTATTATCGTCAATAAGTTTTTTTTTTAATTGGTTTTCCTTTTTACTTTGCAGGTATGTAAGGCAGATGAGAAATTTAACCAGCTGGTACATTTTCTTCGAAATCATAAGCAGGAAAAGCACCTGATCTTCTTCAGGTAATCCTTCTGGATGTTGTGGTAGGAGAATCGGGGGCTCAGCCACATCCAGAATGTACAGATGCATGTAGCCCTAAGGTTTGGAATTCTCTCAGGAATGTGTTTGGCTGCAAGTAACTGAAAACCCAACTTTTGTGGCTCAAGCGGGAGGAGTTATTTTTCTCCTGTAGAAAGAAGGCCAGAGGTTAGGCAGGTCCTGACATTGGGTTATGTCTCCCCAGTGTCCAGGTCAGTATTTCTGCGACTGTCTTGGCCTTTTGTTCATGTCTGTCCCTTCCTGGTTTGAAGATGGCCACTGTCATGCCTCTTGCCCCGTCTGCACTGAAACAGAAAGGAGGAAAGGCAGGGGGAGGGGAAGGGCATTCTTCACATCAGAAGAGCAGAAAGCTTTCCCAGAAGCCCCGCTTCCCCAGCTGACTCAGGCTTTCATTTCAGGGGCCAAAGGTGAGTCACTGGGCAGCTGCTCCCCTCCAGAGAGGCAGAGGAAATGCGTGCGTAGCTGTCCCAGCCTCTGCCGTAGAGGGAGGCAAGGGAGGAAGTGGCTGGGCATGGCCTTGAAGCAGCCAGCCCCGTGGCTGCACGGTGGGGTTTTGTCCTGGTGTCCGAACCCCAGGAGGATTTCAGATACAGAGCTTAGGGTGGATGATGTCAGTAGCCATTCTCCCAGAGAGGATCGGTCGGGTCCTCTCCGCTGCATCTGGTGCTTGCCGCCTCCCTCCCCCAGCAGTAGGGGACCCAGGTGGCCAGCGACTCTGAGCCCGCTGTCCCCTCTCGCAGCACCTGCGCCTGTGTGGAATACTATGGAAAGGCTCTGGAGGCCCTGGTGAAGAGTGTGAAGATCATGTGCATTCACGGGAAGATGAAACACAAGCGCAATAAAATCTTCATGGAGTTCCGCAAACTGCAAAGGTGAGTTAGCTGCCTCGGAGCTCACTGTATGCTTTGGCAGGTCCCTCTGCGTCTCAGCCCTCACACGGGCTGTGTTCTCTGCCTAGAACCCTTGTTCTCCTCTGCCCAGTTATCACACCTGCTCTGTGTGGCCCCGGGGGGCCCTGTCCCCGGCCTGACCCCGTCATCCCTAGTTATCACCAGCTTCCCTGCAAGATCGTAAGCTCTATAAGAACAGGGACCTGTGTGTTGTGTTCACTCCTGGGTTCCCCAGCGCCTGGCCCAGGGGGTTTTGATACCTATTGGTTGAACGGGTGGAGGGTGTGGATGGGAGCGATTCATTAAAGTCTCGTAGGTTGTCGTCTGGTCACTACACAGTTGGGAGCTCACATCTCTCAGTGGCCATAATTAATTCTGCATGTAGAAGTAACATTTTTCTGCTTTTCTAAGAGCCTCCTGGCTGTGTTGTTAAAAGCACTCTTGTAGACAGAGTGATAGAATGGATTGTTACACCTCAGGATTAGACTCACTACAGTTTTTGGTTTGTTTTAAAGAAAAGTATGCTAATTTAAAAAATTCTTCCCTGGTCTCCTCCCTACCTCCTGTTTTCTTTTTTTTTAAAGATTTGTTTATTTGACAGAGACCTAGCGAGAGAGGGAACACAAGCAGGGGGAGTGGAAGAGGGAGAAGCAGGCTTCCCGCCGAGCAGGGAGCCCGATGTGGGGCTTGATCCCAGGACCCCGGGATCATGACCTGAGCTGAAGGCAGACGCTTTAACAGCTGAGCCACCAGGCACCCCTACCTGTTTTTGTTGGGAATTTGTAAAGTCCTAGATATCCTTAGGAAAAAAAGCCAAAATGTGATTCCTAACTGCTTGCGTCTGTGAGAGGTTTGGAACCTGTGCATTACTGTCGTCCTCCTCATCAGGGCTGGGAAAGACTGGCGGTGATGACGTTGGTGGCCCCCTTGCTCAGAACGGTGTTTTTTCATTTTCTAGTGGGATTTTAGTGTGCACGGATGTCATGGCCCGAGGAATAGACATTCCTGAAGTAAACTGGGTTTTGCAGTACGACCCTCCCAGCAGTGCAAGGTACTGAGTGACGGAATGTGACCCTCACTGTCAGGAATCTGGCCCCACGAATTCTGAGGAAGATATGCATAGTGATGTTCATCAAAACATTACTTTAAATAGCAAAAATGGATGAACAGGTGAACCGTCAATTGGTGTGTGAAAATAGTGATGCCATAGTATGCAATTTGTTATTTTCACATGATTTTTTTTTTTTTTAAACAATGGCTTAATTTTTTTAAAGATTTTATTTATATGACAGAGAGAAAGGGAGACAGAGATAGCGAGAGCACAAGCAGGGGGAGCGGCAGGCAGAGGCAGAGGGAGAAGCAGGCTCCCCCGCTGATCCCAGGACCCCGGGATCATGACCTGAGCCGAAGGCAGATGCTTAACCGACTGAGCCACCCAGGCGCCCCTCCACATGCTTTTTAAAACTCTTGCACAAGTGCATCTGATAGATGCTTAAAGGAAAGTAATACATGACACTGTATATGAAAGTCTTACTCTCCCATAGCAAACATATATTCCTCATAAATGCTTCCAAACACGGGAAAATGTGGGGGAATAGACTTCCTGAGTGGTAATGATCATTACAGGCCACTTTTCTTTTCTATACTTTTTCTATGCTTTTGTCTCCCAGTTTTCTACTAGGACTGTGTTTTACCTGTGTCATCAAATAGGCATTCATGTAAGAGTTTTCTGGTTCACATTAAGTGTCTTGCAGACCCCTACCTGGTTTGCGGTCCATATTTAACTGCCAGTTCTTGTGTTGTGACCCTGGTGAGGGGCAGGGTTGGGCTGAGCCGTGGAGTCTGGCAGCCCTGGGCCCCCGCTCCGCGTACTCTCACATGGTGATCGTGGTCCCGTCCTCCATTCTCAGTGCCTTCGTACATCGCTGTGGTCGTACAGCCCGCATCGGCCACAGCGGCAGTGCGCTCGTCTTCCTCCTTCCCATGGAAGAGTCCTATATCAGTTTCCTTGAAATTAACCAAAAAGTAAGTGGTTTCCTTTTTTCATATAGCATGCCCAGTGACAGGATACTTGGTAGGGTTCTTTTCCAGCAAGCGGTCCGGAACTTAGAGGAGGGGTTGCACACTCTCAGGGGCCAGGTAGTGATGTAAGGGCAGGAGCTAGCTGGCCTCACGGCTGTGGGGAGGCACCAGCCCCATTCAGGGTGGCAGCCACTGCTCAGCTCCAGCCAGTATCAGTATACTTGGGAACCCAGACCTGGTGTTGGATACTTTCCAACCAGAAATCAGGATTGTTATGTAAAATTGATTTTAAACTTTCCTTAAAAAAAATGTCAGGCCAACTTGGGAATTTGGGCTTCAGTCAGTGTCTCTGATTAAAGATTACAATGAATTGTTTTGCCTTTGGTTTTGCACTGGCTCTGATGGGGTTTTGGAGGTGAGGGGATCCCAGACAGAGGAGGTGAGCATGTGGTCTGTGTGCAGTGCCCCCTGCAGGAGATGAGACTCCAGAAAAACACAGGAGACCTCCTTCCAAAGCTCAAGTCCATGGCCTTGGCCGACAGAGCTGTGTTTGAAAAGGGCATGAAAGCCTTTGTGTCCTACGTCCAGGCTTATGCGAAGCACGAATGCAACCTCATCTTCAGATTAAAGGGTAAGGTGCACTTCACGTGATTGTCTCCTTAAACACCTACAGCCTTACGAGTAGTGCAGGTGTGAAACTGCTTTGTCTTAGAAAGATGTTAGGCATATGTCAGGGTTAGTATAGTCTCCCTAGGGTTTGTGTAGACAGAACAGACTCGTTGCCGAGTATTCCTTTTTGGTAAAAATGTAATTCTTTTAATTCTAATTAAAATGAACCCATTAGATCATTCGGCTGGCCAGCAGCCGTCTTCCTTGGGTTGGTGCTCATGACTCTATTTTGGGTGTGCTAACTCTGCCGTTTTGGTTGAATCAGATCTTGATTTTGCTCGACTTGCTCGAGGGTTTGCCCTGCTAAGGATGCCAAAGATGCCGGAGCTGAGGGGGAGGCAGTTTCCAGATTTCGCGCCTGCGGATGTTAACACAGACACCATCCCATTTAAAGATAAAGTTAGAGAGAAGCAGAGGCAGAAACTCCTGGAGCAACAAAGAAAAGAGAAAAGAGAAAATGAAGGGAGAAAAAAATTCATAAAAAATAAAGCTTGGTCAAAGCAGAAGGCCAAAAAGGAGAAGAAGAAAAAGATGAATGAAAAAAGGAAGAGGGAAGAGGTACCGTTTTTATTACTTGAACACTCAGCTGAGAATTCTAAATGAGTTTTATCAAAATAGTGTCTAGTAGTGGGGAGCGCGTGGGGCTCTCGTATTCTGTATTCTGTTGGGCCTCGGGTGGGAGCATGATGGGTTTGTGGAAGCTGATCTGAGAGTGTGTTGTTGCTGTGAGAACACGTCCCTGAGAAATTTGGTGTTTTGTCGCTCTCTGCACTTAGGGTTGTGATATTGAAGACGAGGACATGGAGGAACTTCTCAATGACACGAGGCTCTTGAAAAAGTTTAAGAAAGGGAAAATTACTGAAGAAGAATTTGAGAAGGGGTTGTTTTCGAGTGGCAAGAGAACAGTCCCGACAGCAGATCTGGGGATCCCTGATTCGGAAGAGGACTGCTGACATTGGCCCCGGGGCACACACAAGTGCAGGGATTATGATGAGTGGCCTGCACCCCGCGCCCCGCATGGTGCCGCGTGCTTTCATCGTGTGCCATACTGCAGCCGGTGCCCGAGCGAGCCGTGTTCACACTGGGGATGGGGCGGGGGGGGGGGGGCACACTTCACACTCATGACTGTTATGAAAACCACACCAGCCTTTAAGGCCAACGGAAGAGTGTAAGACTGAGTGTAAATAACAGGTCAGTATTTATTCTGATGGGTCACATCTTAATTAAAGCTCATTTTTCTGTGGCTATTTTATACTTACTTTCTAACATAAAGACACTGAGGTATACTTGAGTTTTGGCTTTTTAAGTTTCCTAGTGTTTTCAGGCAGCTGACCTTCGTGGGTGTCCTTACCCCTGGACTTGAGTTCTTCCTCGAGGAACTGCACAGAACACCTGCGTGGGGCAGCTGCTATTGCTGGGGTTTTCTTCTTTTCGAAGAATCGTCTCCACCACAGTTTTGGGAGGGGGGTGGGGGGAGGAAGCAAGTCATATTCTAGGGAAAAAAACCTATGTGTCGAATAAACTACTTCCTTCCAATTGTCCTGAGTGTGTGAATGTGGCTGCAGTGTCTTCGCCAAGATGGCCAATCCCTTTGGGCCTCGGGTAGCGCTCAATACTCATACAACACCATATCAAAATCTTTCATGTAATTTATTTGAAAAGATGGCTGAGTTTGTCCCCAAGTACAATTTTTAAAAAGCTGTTCAGGGATCAAACACGTTTAAAGGAAATTCACATCTTCCACAGATGCAGACTTTCAAGTTTACAGATGTTCTGGAAGGTCTTCGTATGTGTGAGCCACGGAGGCTACTCCTGCTAAATGTTGTTTCTACCTTCCTTGGGTTTTCTGGGTGGTTTCCAGTCCCATCTGTCCCAATTTCGAGGAGGGGATGGCGGCCCCAGGCTCGTGGTCACCACTGGAAGCCTGATGTGACTTCAATCCGGGTTTCCAGCCTCTCATAAGGCACCGTTTGTAACGTGTCCTGGGCGCCTGTATGTTCCTGCAGGGGCGCCTGGCTGCAGATAGGAATGCCTGCTTTTGCAGGCCTGCATCTCTTTAATCGATGCTTTTGGCAAATCAGTCTGGAGTGCAGGGAAGAAGGGAGGTGGGCTTGGGCATGGCTTTCATTGGTTAAGTAGCCAATAATCTAACTTATATTTCTGGAAACTGGAAAGTGTCTAGAAACCATAAACGCAATTCAGGTTGGGTTTTAGGGAAACCATGAACACATTTTAGATGGGGCTGAAATGGATAAAAAAAATTTTCCAAGTCTTAAGGTTTAAGTCCTTCGTCCCTAAGTCTTCATTAAAAAAAAAAAAAAAATTCAGTTTTAGGGGCATCTGGCTGGCTCAGTCAGTGGAGCATGGGACTCTTGATCTCAGGGTTGTGAGTTCGAGCCCCACTTACGGTAGAGATTACTTAAAAATAGAAGCTTTAAAGAAAAAAAAAATTTAGTATGTCCTGGCTCACGGAGGGGTCAAGAGGCTACTCACCCTGCCCCACGTGCAACAGCTGTGCGCCCGCAGGAAGGGATTCAGTGGCTACAGATACAGCTTGATGAGCTCGTCGCTGACTGCTGAGGGCGTCAACACCCCCAGGTCTGTAAACAGCAGTGTTATTAAGGAAGGGGAGGTGTAGTCGACCCATGGGTGCTCCTCTTTGAGATCCTGTTTGGTCTGCATAGTCTTCAGGGTATCTGCCTTATACTGAGGAGACAGGAAGCACGTGTTGGTTTTCCCCACACACCCCGGGCTCAGAAGTGGTGTGGGCTTGGGCTGAGCAATCAGTGTGCTACTAGCTACTACCTGCAAGTGTTCCCTGCATGGGGGAAGCCAGCCGGGCAGGACGCTGGCGAGGAGGGCGGAGGGCGGAGGGCGGAGGGCAGCGCGGCGGAGCCAGAGGATGGCGGCCTACCGGCCAAAAACCCAAACCCCGTCTCCCCTGACTGGTGTGCTGGATTCACAGCTCCAAACCTCTCGAGATAACAATTTCGAGTCTTTATAGAGAGCTTACTGTGTGCCAGGCACGTGCCAAGCTTTTCTTCTGGATTATCTCAGAGCTGTCATAATGCTCAAAATACACTTCCATCTCATTTTACAGGTGACTGAAGTTCAGAGCATAAAATGAGAGCATCTGCCCCAGGCCACGTGGTTAGTAAGCGGTGGGGATGGGGGCTGAGCCCAGAGAGTTGGCTCCAAAGCTTGGACTGAACCATCAGCTTTCCCTGCGTCCTCGCAAGCCCCCTCTCATGCCTAAGAGAGACTGAGAGATTGAAGTTCTGGGGACAAATGGGACTCTCCGAGTCTTGAGCTCAGCCAACAATTGATCTTTGTGTCCTAAGTGTTGGAGAAACTAGTGATGGGAGGGGAGTAACCTACTGAAATATTCTTACACGGCTTCTTCCCAAAGGTTTCAGTTTAGACTCAAATACCCCTTCAAATATGTAAAAAAAAATTCTTGCCTTAAACTTATTTGGGACATCCTGCTGGTTTAGTGGGAAGAGTCGTACAAACTTGAAACTTTCTGCAACGACATAAAAAGGCTTGTTCTGGGCTTTGGCGCACACGGCCATCTGGTTGGTTCCAATCTGGAGAGTCAGAGAAAAAGTAGAAGGATGAGATCTTACAGCATAGTCGAAAGCGTGTGAGTGAACATAATATGTGTAAGTCTGGCTTTGGAATTAGGATCTTTTAAAAAAGATGACAGAATAGACTTTTCTCTAAAGATACACAAATGGCCAATATACACATGCTCAAAAGATGCTCAAGACCCTCGTCATTTGGCAAACACAAGTCAAAACCACAATGAGATACTACTTCACACCTACTAGTATGGCTATAATTAAAAAACCAAAATAACAAGTGTTGGCAAGGATGTAGAGAGACTGGAATGCTTGTACAGTGTTGAGGAGAACGGAAAAGAGTGCAGCTACTATGGAAAAGTCTGGTGGGTCCTCGGAATTATCAAGTGACCCAGAAATTCCACTCAGGAACGTACCCATGGGAACTGCGAACAGGAACTCAAATAGATCTCTGCACCCATGTTTGTAGTAGCATTATTTACAAGAGCCAAAACGTAGAAACGACTCAAGTGGACAGGAGTCGGTGGACAAACCAATGTGCTCTCTGCGCACAATGGAATGTGATTCAGCCGTAAAAAGGGATGATGTGTGGACACCTGCTACAACAAAGATGGGCTCCGAGAACATCGTTGTGCTGTGTGAAATCACGCCCCTGAATTGTACACGTGAACACCGAATGTTATGTATATTTCACCATGCAAAAAAATAAATGATCATGAAATTTTTCCGTGTTAAGCAAGGAATAGAGAAATTTTAACACCACACTATATTGATGTCAAATATGCCCAATTAAAAAAAAACCAACAATCAAACCCAATTCCAGTTAAAACAGTTTTTGAGAAAAGATAAGCTGCATTCTCATGATTCACATAGATCAAAGAAATGTGACCAAAATTTGGCCACTACAGTGGCCTCTGGGGACTGGGAGACAAATTTGCTGCGACGGTGAGGTCCAGAGGCCACGCGGGGCTGGATGAGCGAACCGTAACATCTGGTACCGCCAGGATGTGGGTCAGCGACCCCTCCCCGCCTGGAGCGAGGAGCTGTGGGGAACTGACGTTCTTACCTTGTTGATAATGCCCCCATTTTCAACAACTCCTTCAGCACCAACTATGACAAGATCCACTTTCTCCATGATATAGCTAAAGAAATTAAAAAAAAAATTATGCTCTTTTCTTGGCTCTTACGAGTAGCAGCATCACCTGCAAAGATTAATACTCCATTTTCACCACCGAAAGTTCCTCTCCTCACTTTCTTCAAAAGAGAGCACTTAACCCATGAGACCACCCCGGGCACTGTTGGCGGCTTTGCCAGCAGGAGCATGAAAACGCACTGTGATCACAACCCCCCAGTGAATGTGCCCTCCACACAGCCGCCCAGCACACGTACGCGTACAGGTGTGGTGACCGACGCGAGGGTTTCGTGACCCAGTATTTATCCTCACTACGTGTGGTACACTCTATTTTCTGATCTACTTCAATACAAGAAACAAAAATTTAAGAACCTGTTGTGATCCGAAGTTGGAAGAAATGTTATGTAATTCAACAATCTTTCAGCTAGGGTGAAGGCCAATTTACCTCTGAAAATGGGCAATTAAGTAGAATTCTTCAAAATGCTTTCTTTTGAACGCATTCCTAATTTCGTTAATCATCTGCCTTATGTGTTTGGTTTTTTTTTCCCCCTTGAGGGACTTTTAGTCCTGTTTTCTTTTGTGAGGTACACTGAATTCACAGAACGTGCGTCCTCAGTTTTAGAAGCGAAGTTGCATGAGTAAGTCAAAGAATCCCAGAGTGCCACTGAGGACGGCCCATGCCTTCCGCTGAGGATGGAGCACTGATTACGTGTGCTGACCCTAACCCGGCTTTTGCACCTTGCTCTTAAAATGCACCATAAGGGACTCTGGGTGGCTCTGCTTGTCTGCCTTCAGCTCAGGTCATGATCCCAGCGTCCTGGGATCGAGTCCCACATCGAGCGCCTTGCTCAGCAGGGAGCCTGCTTCTCCCTCTGCCTGCCGCTCCCCCTGCTTGTGCTCTCTCTCTCCCTGACAAATAAATAAGATCTTTAAAAAAAAGATAAAATGCACCATAAGACTACATAAATGACTCCCATTCTCTGCAACACTCTACAGCTTGTCTCCTGCATATACCATCAAGACCTTTTCACGAGCTTGCTGGTTTAATGCAGCCATCAATTTGGATGCAGAACATTACCCAGGGCAGTTTTATGAATGGGATTCCAACCTCCAATCGGAAACCCTGCTCCAAGCCAACCCTGGGAGTGGGTGATGACAAGTAACGGTGCTCAGGGAAGATGGAAGCTTACCCAACAGCAGCATCCAGGACCACGGTGACAGGGACGTTGAGGTGGTAGAGAGCTCTGGCCATTTTCTTACTGGAAAATGACATTTTGAGAATGTTAGAGAAAGTCCAAGAAAGTCCCGTAGTGGCATATGATGAGTCATTTAATTTGGACAATGGTAAATCACATTAGCCTGAAACTCAGTTCATACTCAGGGATTAAGGGGCGTGTCCCAAGACTCTGGAATAAGGAAACAAGAATTTGGGTTCTTTAGAAGAAACTATGTGTTTCAGGAAAACTATATTCTTGGGGACTCTGGGTAGGAGATGCAAATTCAGCAAAAAAGGAGACAGTTTTTTTCTTTCATTATCTTCTGGATGGAGATGTGAATTATCTACTCCTTGATAAAAATCTTTCCATTGACATATCTATTGCTGTTCCCCTGATTTAACTCCTAAAGAAACACCCTAGATCCTGTACGGTGGCCTACTGCCACTTCACAGAGAATTTTCTTCGGGGGCAGGAAAAGGCACAAAGGCAAGGCTGAGTAACTGGCCAGTCGCGGGCCATGTTCTGGGGCTTCCTACCCAGGGCCTAATCCTTCGTTTGCTCTTTAAAATGACTGCTGGGCCCAGAACCAAATGGAATGATACTTGCCCCGATAAGTCAGGCTGTGACTCTGTGATGTACACACTGAAACGCTTCTTGGCCACCACTGCTGCCTCCAAAACTCTCAGGACCACTCTGGAGTAGGCGTGAGTTAATATTTTCTGCGGACCAAGAAAGCTTCGTCAGAAGGGAAAGCTTCGCAGTGATCACGCGCACCCTCTGCCACGCTAATGCCTGTTCTCGGTACCCCCAGGCTTCTTGCTATGCTGTCTCACAAATCAGCTGCAATCAGAAGCGAGATCCTTGATGGCCCATCTGTTCTGGGTCACCTCCTCCCACAGCCAATGCAGGAGTGGAATCCCCACGTGGTGTTGCTCGCAAGATGCAAAAGCCTATGTGAAGGCTCTGTCCGGCTCCTTCGGGCTGGCTTTCCTAGTTCTAAGACGTGGTGTTGCACACTCAGGCCCGCGGCACACGGCAGGCTGCAGCAGAGGACAGACCGAGCTCCAGCTGTTGTCGCACGGTCCCACTGCTGCCAGATGATCTCATTTTTCTCTTGAAAATCCAAGACAGAAGTGTTGGCTAACTAATTTTTTTAAATCTGTAAACACCATTTGGGGGTAAACACAACCCATCTGCAGGCCAGATCCAATGGGCAGAGACACTCACTTCAGCTCTGTTCTAATGAACAGACTACGTGGATCTGTATAATGCAAAATGGATGGACAGAGCGCCCTGGCTCCTTTCTGGGCCTCGCCTGGAAGCTTGTCAGCGATGCAGATTCTCAGCCGCCCCAAGACCTGCTGAATCAGAATCAGCAGTGAGTAAGATCCCAGGTGGTTCGTCTGCAGGTTCCAATGTGGGCAGCTCTGCCCTGAATTCAGCCTAAAGTCAGCACTGATGCAGGTGGGCATTAACACACTCACATACACCAGAGCATGTGAAACCTGCAGAATGCTGAGCGCGGGAGTCTGGTGGAAGCAGAAGGCCTCATCGAGAGGCGGTCTTAATCTTGCCTCCATGTGGCCCAAAGTGGCTTTGTTCGCAACTGGCTTTTGTACAAGTTCCGCTCACATCTATTACGTCATTTCGTGAAGAACACACTTCAAAGGTTGGGAAGGGGATAATAACACAGAGGACAAGATTTCAGAGTCAAAACGCAAGTAAAGAATTTTATGGTCCGTGAAGGCTTGGATGGCAGAAGAGGGACACCATGGGAGAGACATCATAAAAGTTTTACTGCCCCTTTGCTGGGGGACTGGCTTAACCTGCAGCTCCCATCCTCACTTCACCTAGAAACCCTTGGCAGTTCTGCGTCTATGAAATAGCACTGGAAATGAAATTAAAGACAACATCCCAGCCCAGGGCTGACCTTCACTGGGAAGACAGTCAGTATGAACCAGTGCCAGCAGCTGGTAGGTGTTGATTTAATTTCAATTTAGTATGTACCCGATAATGAAAACACTTCTTTGGTAAAGACATCTTATTAAACAATGAACCATCCATGCTGTCCCAGTGGTTTTTTCTCTTCCTGTTTATTTTATTTTATTTAAAGTTTATTTATTGTTTTTAAGTAATCTCTACACCCAACGTGGGGCTCAAACTCACGACCCAGAGATCAAGATTCCCACTCCCTTCTGACCAAGCCAGCCAGGTGCCCCTCTTGGCCTGTTTAATGTGACAACCTCCGTAGTAACATCTACACATCTGTATAATGCTTACTATGTGCCAGGCATAGTACAGAGTCTTTAGATCATCTCAATACCTCTTTCCACAAAAACCTGATGAGGTAGGTGCTGTTATCACCTTTATTTAACAAATGAGAAAACTGCAGCACAGAGAGGTTAAGTAACTTGTCCAAGGTAACACAGCGAGTAAGTGGCAAAGGAGTCTAAGTCCAAAGTCCTTGCTCCCAATTACTACACGTGAGAAAATCTACTCACCGCCCCATCTTTGATGAAAGTATGGCACAGATCTGCAATTTTATTTCTCGATTGGGATGTTCTCCTGAGAAAAAGTTCTCCCCGCTCAATCATGATCTTTTTACATTTAGAGTAATCCTAGGAAGAAAAGAGCAAAATGAGGGGTAAAGCTGAGATCCAGGTAAAGCTGAGAATACCTGCAGCCCGACACAGAAGTAGAAAGTAACCCAAGGAGGGCAGGGCTTACAGAGTATTCCAGGGAAGTCAGGCTGATGAAGCGCAGGAAGAGCTTCCCGCCGGAGGACACGGCCACAGAGGAGTCCACGTCACACAGGGTTTCTATGGCACGGGTGAGATTCGCTCGCAGGCCCTGGATCGTCTCCCCTGGATGGATCACATGAGGAATGCGGTGTTCAGGTTAGTATCACAGCCCCTTGGTGGGTCTGTGATTCATAGATTTATGCAATCAGTGTTTACTGCATGCATCCTGTATGCAGAGGCACATCAGTGAGCAGACAGGGTCCCTGCTCTGATGGGACTCCCCTTCTAGTGGAAGCAGCAGACAATACACAAGCACACAAAGAAATACACAAGTTACAGACTGAATGAGGACAGAAAGCAGCAGAATGATGAGAAACGTGGGGCTACTTTAGACAGAGCTAACAGGGATGGCCTCTGGAGTGGAGGCCATTTAAACTGAGATCTGAGTAAGAAAGGATCCAACCACGTAAAGACCCAGTGGGACCTGAGATGGGAACAAACTTGACATGACAGAGAGAGGCCACCACGGCTGAAGCACAGTTTAGTGAGGGACAGCATGGAAGGAAATTAAGCAGAAGTGGCAGATGAGGTCAGAGAGGCGGTGTAGGCAAGACTTAGGTGTTTGGGTGTTATTGTAGGTCCAATGGGAAGACAATGAAGGTTATCTTAGAGACACATGTCTTTAGGCCAGCCCTTCGGATCAAAGAAGGCATTATTACTATTATTTTTATTGTTATTTTGCTTATAAAAGACGTATGCTCAACCAAGAAACTTATATTTACGATGCCTGAATGAGTAGGCGATCACAATGAATGACGCTAATACTAGAATTCTGGAACACTCTGTAGCAACTGCACAAATTCTGGCACAAGACAGAAGCTCAATAAACACAAAGCTGAACTATTGCTATAATTTAAGCTTCATGGTTAGCTTGATATATAACATGGTCACTCTTGATTCAAAGTTTATTTCACTTATGAAAGGGGACCCATTTAATGATAACTGGTGGGCTCTTTGCAAATTAAAATGAAGACTGAAATGAAGGAGAAGTTGAACTTGGAGCATTACCTTAAGTAGGCCCTCACGCAGTCTCACTTTCTACACTTCTTTTTTTTTTAAGATTTTATTTATTTATTTGACAGAGAGAGAGACAGAGCATGCACATGTGCACAAGTAGGGGGGAGGGGCAAAGGGAGAGGGAGAAGCAAACTCCCTACTGAGCAGGGACCCGATTGGGGACTCGATCCTAGGACCCTGGGATCATGACCTGAGCCAAAGGCAGACGCTTCACTGACTGAGCCACCCAGGCGCCCCAACTTTCTACGCTTCTGACAGTTACTAGAGGAGTGTTCGAATATGACCCTCTTCACCTTGATCTCTCTTCAAGAACTCCAGCAAAGTCCGGATGGCAGCTACTGCTGAGGCCATGTCAGGATTTTCTTTCATCTGAGACTTAAAGTATTCAATTAACTCTGGGGAGGGAAAAAAAGTGATTCATCAAACTCATTTAGCAGGATGTAAGACCAGAGAGTTTTCAATGACTGCTAACCTTAAGAAATAAACTAATTTTATTTATTTATTTATTTTTATTTTCAAAGATTTTACTCATCCATTTATTAGAGAACGAGCGAGAGAGAAACAGCATGAGAGGGGGGAGGGTCAGAGGGAGAAGCAGGCTCCCCGCCGAGCCCGGAGCCCGATGCGGGACTTGATCCCAGGACTCCGGGATCATGACCTGAGCCAAAGGCAGTCGCTCAACCGACTGAGCCACCCAGGTGCCCCTTATTTATTTATTTTTAAGATTTTATTTATTTGAGAGAGAGAGATAGAGAGGGCGTGCACACACATACACACACACATGAAAGGGCAAGCAGAGGGAGAAGCAGACCCTGGTGAGTGGGGAGCCCAATGCGGGGCTCGATCCCAGGACCCTGAGATTATGACCTGAGCCAAATGCAGATGCTTAACAGACTGAGCCACCCAAGCACCCCAGAAGCAAACTAATTTTAAAAATACTTTCTTTTCAGGGTGTTTGGCTTCAGGGGCATTATAAATGTTGATGGGAATAGGGATGACACCACTTTAGCATTTACCGGCTGTCTTTCTCATTTTTGAAAAAGCTACCGGTGCACAAAAGGCATAAAATTTAAGCACCACCACATGATAGTGGAAGGTCATCCTCCCTCTTATCCTTGACTACAAGTCTTGGGAGAATCCCAGAGTCAATCACTTTAATCAATTTTCCCCCCACCTGTCCAGACAGTCTGTGCCAATTCAAGCCTGTTCACCTACTTACATAGTACATGTATATGCAGAGATCCATCCCTTTCTTTTTTTTTTTTTTTTTAAAGATTTTATTTATGTATTTGACAGAGAGAGACACAGCGAGAGAGGGAACACAAGCAGGGGTTAGTGGGAGAGGGAGAAGCAGGTCTCCCGCTGAGCAGGGAGCCCGATGCGGGGCTCGATCTCAGGACCCTGGGATCACGTTAAGGCAGACGCTTAACGACTGAGTCACCCGCCCCTCTTTTTTTTTTTTTTTTAAATGAGAAGTATCATATATGTTAGTTTGCCCTTCTGTTTCACTTAATAAAACACCCTGATAACCATACTAGATGAGCACATCAAACACGTCTTTTAAAAAAAAATTCTAGTACCAGATCCAATAAGGCGGGGAATCTTACTCATACTTCACATATGAAGGAATCACGACCGCCGAGATCTGCACACCTGGTCTAAATCTCCCTTTTTTGGAGGAGGGCGCTGTAAAGCGCTGGGACAGGAAGGTCTGGGGATACCCTCAGGACCCATTCCCTGGATACAGGGACCGCGAGAGGGATCGAGTCGCCCCGAGAAGCAGCACATCCAGTCCAGCAGCCGAAACTTGGAAAGTGACTTCTGGCCGAGCCCAGCCTGGGCGTGCCAGATGGAGGGACCCCCGTGCGGCTCCGCTTTAGGCCCAGCAGGCCCGTCCCGTCCCGACTTACCGCTGCTGTCCATTGTGTTCTCCGGATCGCGCAGCCCGAGGGGACCGGGACAGCCCGCGCTGCCTGCACGGGTCCCACGACCACTGGGTTCGCAGCCACAGAGACTGACAGCACGCAGCGCGGCTCCTCACTCCACTTCCGGCGCCTTGGGGGCGGGGCCGTGGGTACGGCGCGCGGCCTGGGCCAAGCCGCCTGCGGGTCACTCGGCAGCGCCGGAAGTCGGGGCGCGCAGGATCCGGGAGGAGCGCTTGACTGCTTGCTACCTGTCCGTCGGGGGATCCTGGCCGCCATGGTGTCAGACGGTGAGGGCTGTGCGGGGAGGGACCCCCGACCCCGGGACTGGGCGGACTGGGCCTGGCCAGGACCCCCCAGTTGGAGCATTATTTTGGGGGGCTGGGGCAACCTGTTTGGTCTTTAGAGGAGTAGCAAATGTGTTCATTTGTTCAGTAAATAGTTTTGAATGGCCTGTGTGTCAGGCGTTGTTTTATGCTCTGGGGAATACGGCAGAGAACACGGCATTCAGGGTCCTTCGTGCAGGTTACAGTCTAGTGCGCGAGGCAGACATCAGGCAAGTAAATCAGAACAATTTTGAAGGGTGACAAGAGCTGTGAAGACAGGATACTGGGATGCTGCACTTCGTTGTGATTAGGGGATGATCATGGAGGAGCTACTTTAGAGAAGAGTCCAGGTACTGAAAGTGAGTCTTGAACGACTGCAAAGGCCCTGTGGCAAGTTGAGCCACTGTATTACACTAAGACAGAAATGGGGGACTTGAGGGTAGAGGAAGGTGGAGAGACCTTCATTCATAAATTAAACTACCAGTTATAGAGTCTGATGCCTTTTTTTTTCTTTTCAAGATTTTATTTATTTGAGAGAGAGCCCGTGCGCAGGAGCGGGGTGGGGGAGAGGGAGAAGCAGACACCCCGGTGAGGAGGGACCCTGACTCCAGGCTCGATCCCAGGACCCTGAGATCATGACCTGAGCCAAAGGCAGATGCTTAACCGACTGAGCCACCCAGGCGCCCTAAGCCTGATGTCTTAAAGGAAGAAAAAAGAGACCAGGGTGGTGGGAGTGAAGTGAACTAGAGGGATAAGAGCAGAAGCTTAGGCAGATGCTTGGCCTTTGTGGGCCATGATAAAGAGGTTGAACTTTTTTTTTTTTTAAGATTTTATTTATTTATTTGACAGACTCCGCGAGAGAGGAAACACAAGCAGGGGGAGTGGGAGAGGAAGAAGCAGACTCTCCGCGGAGCAGGGAGCCCTATGCGGGGCTCGATCCCAGGACCCTGGGATCATGACCTGAGCCGAAGGCAGATGCTTAACGACTGAGCCACCCAGGCGCCCCGCTGCCAGTCTTAGTTGATTTTAGCAACTGTTAAATGTTTAAAAAAAAAAAAAAGGAGAGGGTCCATGTCATAATCGATGGAAGATGGCAGTAATATTTCCCTCAGTAGTTTGTTGTCAGCATGGAAGGGGATTATAGGATTACATATGCCAGTGGCTGATGTAAAGGAGGCTGACATTGGTGTTCTCTCAAATGGGGGAGCCAGGACCTGTTGGAAGACCTGGGGAGGGTTTTTGGAAGAAAGAGGTAGCATTGGCTTGGGGCTTTGTAGAGTAAATAGGATTTGGATGTGTGAGCAGAAATCGATGATGGAGTGGGGATTATCCTGAAGTAGGAGATGGAACTGCTGGAAGGAAAGTACGGGGGCAGGAAAGACATTATTGCTTTTTGCTATTAAAGGAGCATCCTGGGGTTTTCGTAACAGCTGTACATAAGGGTTCTCATGTTTGTCACCTCAGTTAGAATTTATAGACTTCCTCGAGAGCTTGAACCCAGTATCCCCAGCACCTAACACTGGTATTTAGTGTAAATGTTTGTTGAATGAATCAATGTGTTGTTAGCCTGTTTAGTTGTGTCCAACTTTGGAGAGTAGCCTATTCCTTTTCACGGTAAAATATTTACATAGCAATTGCTTTTCCGTCTTTGGTCTTCACCTTTTAAAAAGTGGTTCCTAGGGGCGCCTGGGTGGCTCAGTCGTTAAGCGTCTGCCTTCGGCTCAGGTCGTGATCCCAGGGTCCTGGGATCCAGCCCCGCGTCGGGCTCCCTGCTCCATGGGAAGCCTGCTTCTCCCTCTCCCACGCCCCCTGCTTGTGTTCCCTCTCTCGCTGTGTCTCTCTCCGTCAAATAAATAAATAAAATCTTAAAAAAAAAAAAAGTGGTTCCTAATCACTGTTGGCCTTGCTGCTAGGTGATTTGATGGATTTGAGGTCAAACTGGTTCCTGTGTCTCCCTTCAGCCTCCCTGTGCCTGAAATTCTACTGCTGTTGAATATTAACTGGTTAATCAGTGGGTTGTGTCCTTGACTGGACATTTAAAATGTGAATATTTTGGGTGCATTTAACAGGTATTTATTGAGCATCTACTACGTGCTAGGCAGTTGTGCCAGGAGCAGAAGATAAGCAATGACAAGACAGAGAAGAATCCCCCCTCATGGAGCTTACGTACTAATGCACGAAAGATGTAGGGGGACAGAAAGCTGGCAAGAGCCTGCTACGGGCCCACAGAGCTTTAAATCATTAAAAGCACTTGACCTTTGGGGCTCCTGGGTGGCTCAGTTGGTTTAGCAGCTGCCTTCGGCTCAGGTCGTGATCCCAGAGTCCTGGGATCAAGCCCCACATTGGGCTCCTTGCTCAGCAGGGAGCCTGCTTCTCCCCTGCCTGCCGTTCCCCCTGCTTGTGCTTGCTCTCTGTCTCTCTCTCTCAGTCTGGTTCTCTCTGTGTCAAATAAATAAAGAAAATCTTTAAAAAAATAAAAAAAAATAAAAGCACTTGACCTTTGATTAATTTCATGATTATAGGATGATAAACGTGTAAAGGCGTGTGGTGGTGCTTGCTATGGGTTTAATTTACAAATTGGGAATGTTGGCTTGGATACGCTTTCATGAGGCTAATGTGTTTATTTTTTGTTAATATTTTCAGAAGATGAATTGAATCTTCTAGTTATTGTAGTTGATACCAACCCAATTTGGTGGGGAAAGCAAGCATTAAAGGAATCTCAGGTAAGATTGCTTGAGGAGGACTGTGGATAATTCTGGTTTAACTGTCTGTTTATATTGCTTCTTTAAAAATCAGCTTCATTTTAAAAAATCAGCTTTATTAAGGCATATTTTACATACCATAAAATTCATCCTTTATAATGTACAATTCAATGCTTCTTTAGTAAAAATCACAATAAAAGAGTGTAACCATCACTGTAATTTCATTTTATTTATTTATTTATTTTTATTTTTATTTATTTATTTATTTATTTATTCATTTAAAAGATTTTATTTATTTATTTGACAGAGAGAGACACAGCGAGAGAGGGAACACAAGCAGGGGGAGTGGGAGAGGGAGAAGCAGGCTCCCCGCAGAGCAGGGAGCCCGATGCGGGACTCGATCCCGGGACCCCGGGATCATGACCTGAGCCGAAGGCAGTCGCTTAACCAACTGAGCCACCCAGGCGCCCTATTTATTTATTTTTAATTTTTTTGTGTTTAAGAGTCATTTAATTGAAACTCAGAGTACACTTTTGTAAAGAATAATCAGAGAAACCACCCATGATGGAGAAACAATGATATTCAGGGCAAAACTACATTTCTTTTTTTAAATTTATTTTTATTTATTTATTTTTTATTATGTAATGTTAGTCACCATACAGTACATCATTAGTTTTTGATGTAGTGATTCACGATTCATTGTTTTCGTTTAACACCCAGTGCTCCATGTAGTACGTGCCCTCCTTAATACCCATCACCGCGCTAACCCATTCCCCCACCTACCTCCCCTCTAAAACCCTCAGTTTGTTTTTCAGAGTCCATAGTCTCTCATGGTTCATCTCTCCCTCCAATTTCCCCCCTTCATTTTTCCCTTTCTTCTCCTAATGTCCTCCATGCTATTCCTTACGTTCCACAAAAAAGTGAAACCATATGATAATTGACTTTCTCTGCTTGACTTATTTCACTTAGCCTAATCTCCTCCAGTCCCATCCATGTTGATGTAAAAGTTGGGTATTCATCCTTTCTGATGGCTGAGTAATATTCCATGGTATATATGAACCACATCTTTTTTATCCATTTGTCTCTTGAAGGGCATGTTGGCTCATTCCACAGTTTGGCTATTGCAGACACTGCTACTAAAAACTTTGGGGTGCATATGGCCCTTCTTTTCACTACATCTGTGTCTTTGGGGTAAATACCCAGTAGTGCAATTGCTGGGTCATAGGGTGGCTCTATTTTTAAATTTCTGAGGTACCTCCACACTTTTCCAAAGTGGCTCTACCAACTTGCATTCCCACCAACAGTGTAAGAGGGTTCCCCTTTCTCCACAACCTCTCCAACATTTGTTGTTTCTTGCCTTGTCAATTTTTGCCATTCTAACTGGTGTAAGGTGGTATCTCAGTGTGGTTTTGATTTGGATTTCCCTGATGGCTAATGATGATGACCATTTTTTCATGTGTCCGTTAGCCATTTGTATGTCTTCTTTGGAGAAGTGTCTGTTCATGTCTTCTGCCCATTTTTTGACTTGATTATTTGTTTTTTTGGTGTTGAGTTTGAGAAGTTCTTTATAAATCTTGGATACCAGCCCTTTATCTGTAGTGTTGTTTGCAAATATCTTCTCCCATTCTGTGGGTTGCCTCTTTGTTTTGTTGACTGTTTCCTTTGCTGTGCAGAAGCTTTTTATCTTGATGAAGTCCCAAAAGTTCATTTTTGCTTTTGTTTCACTAGCCTTTGGATCTGTATTTTGAAAGAAGTTGTTGTGGCCAATGTCAAAGAGGTTGCTGCCCATGTTCTCCTCTAGGATTTTGATGGATTCCTGTCTCTCATTGAGGTCTTTCATCCATTTTGAGTTTATCTTTGTGAATGGTGTTAGAGAATGGTCAAGTTTCATTCTTCTGCATGTGGCTGTCCAATTTTCCCAGCACCATTTATTGAAGACTGTCTTTTTTCCATTGCATATTTTTTCCTGCTTTGTCGAAGATTATTTGGCCGTAGAGTTGAGGGTCCATATCTGGGTTCTCTCTTCTGTTCCATTGGTCTATGTGTCTGTTTTTGTGCCAGTACCATGCTGTCTTGGTGATCACTGCTTTATAAGATAGCTTGAAATCGGGCAATGTGATGCCCCCAGCTTTGTTTTTCTTTTTCAACATTTCCTTGGCAATTCGGGGTCCTTTCTGATTCCATACAAATTTCAGGATTTTTTGTTCCAGCACTTTGAAAAATGTCATTGGAATTTTGATCGTGATGGCATTGAAGGTATAGATTTCTCTGGGTAGCATAGGCATTTTAACAATGTTTATTCTTCCGATCCATGAGCATGGAATGTTTTTCTATCTTTTTGTGTCTTCTTCAATTTCTTTCCTGAGTGTTCTGTAGTTCCTAGAGTATAGATCCTTACCTCTTTGGTTAGATTTATTCCGGTATCTTATGGTTTTTGGTGCTATTGTAAATGGAATCGTTTCTCTAATTTCTCTTTCTACAGTTGCATTGTTAGTGTATAAGAAGAAAGCAACTAATTTCTGTGCTTTGATTTTGTGTCCTGCCACATTACTGAATTGCTGTATGAGTTCTAGTAATTTGGGGGTGGATTCTTTTGGGTTTTCCACATAAAGTATCATGTCATCTGCGAAAAGAGAGTTTGACTTCTTCTTTGCCAATTTGAATACCTTTTATTTCTTTTTGTTGTCTGATTGCTGTTGCTAGGACTTCTAGTACTATGTTGAACAATAGTGGCGAGAGTGGGCGTCCTTGACGTGTTCCTGATCTTAAGGGAAAGGCTCTCAGCTTTTCCTCATTGAGGATGATATCCACTGTGGGTTTTTCATAGATGGATTTTATGAACTTGAGGAATGTTCCCTCTATCCCTATACTCTGAAGAGTCTTAATCAGGAAAGGATGCTGTATTTTGTCCAGTGCTTTTTCTGCATCAATTGAGAGGACCATATGGTTCTTCTCTCTTCTCTTATTAATGTGTTCTATCACATTGATTGATTTGCGAATGTTGAACTACCCTTGCATCCCGGGGATAAATCCCGCTTGGTCGTGGTGGATGATCCTTTAAATGTATTGTTGGATCCTATTAGCTAGGATTTTGTTGAGAATTTTGGAATCCATATTCATCAGGGATATCGGTCTGAAATTCTCCTTTTTGATGGGGTCCTTTGCCTGGTTTGGGGATTAAGGTAATGCTGGCCTCATAGAATGAGTCTGGAAGCTTTCCTTCTGTTTCTCTATTTTGAAACAGCTTCAAGAGAATAGATATTATCTCTTCTTTGAAAGTTTGATAGAATTCCCCAGGGAATCCATCAGACCCTGGACTCTTGTTTTTTGGGAGGTTTTTGATCAGTTTCAATCTCGTTACTGGTTATTGGCCTATTCAGGTTGTCACTTTCTTCATGTTTCAGTCTTGGGAGTTTATAGGTTTCCAGGAAGGCATCCATTTCATCCAGATTGCTCAGTTTATTGGCATATAGTTGTTGATAATAATTTCTAATAATTGTTTCTATTTCCTTGGTGTTAGTCGTGATCTCTCCCCTTTCATTCATAATTTTATTAATTTGGGTCCTTTCTCTTTTCTTTTGGATAAGTCTGGCCAGTGGTTTAACGATCTTATTAATTCTTTCAAAGAACCAGCTTCTAGTTTCGTTGATCTGATCTACTGTGTTTCTGGTTTCTAATTCATTGATCTCTGCTCTAATCTTAATTATTTTTCTTCTAATGCATGGCTTAGGCATCGTTTGTTGATTTTTCTCTAGTTCTTTAAGGTGTAGAGTTGGTGAATTCGGGATTTTTCTATTTTTTTGAGTGAGGCTTGGATGGCTATGTATTTCCCCCTTAGGACTGCCTTGCAATTTCTTTTTTTTTTTTTTTTTAAGATTTTATTTATTTATTTGAGAGAGAGAGAGAGCACATGAGAGGGGGAGGGTCAGAGGGAGAAGCAGACTCCCCGCTGAGCAGGGAGCCCGATGCGGGACTCGATCCCAGGACTCTAGGATCATGACCTGAGCCGAAGGCAGTCACTTAACCAACTGAGCCACCCAGGCGCCCTGCAATTTCATTTTAGAACATTTCTATCACCCTAGAAAGTTCCCTCATGCCTGTTCAGTCACTGCTTCTACCCCCTAGTTGCAGGCAACCACTGATCTGCTTTCTGCCTCTATATTGCCTTTTCTGGACATTTAATATGGTCCACGAGATAGGTAGTCCTTTAAAAAAAAATCTATTTTGGGGCGCCTGGGTGGCTCAGTTGGTTAAGCGACTGCCTTCGGCTCAGGTCATGATCCTGGAGTCCCTGGATCGAGTCCCGCATCGGGCTCCCTGCTCGGCAGGGAGCCTGCTTCTGCCTCTGACCCTCCCCCCTCTCATGTGCTCTCTCTCTCTCATTCTCTCAGTCTCAAATAAATAAATAAATAAATCTTTAAAAAAAAAAAAAAAATCTATTTTGAGGGGCGCCTGGGTGGCTCAGATGGTTAAGTGTCTGCCTTCGGCTCGGGTCATGATCCCAGGATCCTGGGATCAAGCCCTGCATCGGGCTCCCTGCTGAGCGGGGAGCCTGCTTCTCCCTCTCCCTCTGCCTCTGCCTCTGCCTGTTGCTCCCCCTGCTTGTACTCTCTCTCTCTGTCAAATAAAAAATAAAAAATCTTTTTTTTTGTTTTTTGTTTTATTTATTTATTCATGAGAGTCAGAGAGAGAGAGAGAGGCAGAGGCAGAGGGAGAAGCAGGCTCCCCACCTAGCATGGAGCCCGATGCGGGACTTGATCCAGGACCCCGGGATCATGACCTGAGCCGAAGGCAGACACTTAACCATCTGAGCCACCCAGGCGCCCAAAAAATAAAAAATCTTAAAAAAAATCTATTTTGAAATGTTTTATTTTGAAATAATTATAGACACCTAGGAAATTGTAAAAAAAAAAAAAATGGTAACAGAGGGGTCCCATGTACCCTTGCCCCAGCTTCTCCCAGTGGTAGCATCTCGTGTACCTAGAGTCCAATAGCGAAACCAGGAAATTGACATCAGTACG